ACTTATAAAACGCCTAGCCTTTATGTTTTAAAATTCGAATCGTGATTCATCGATCATAATCGTAATGATTTTTTTCCTCACAATCGAATGAAATCGGTTTTTGACATTTTTTTTGCTAATCACACTCTAAAACAAGTATCTTTGAAAATTCCTCAAAGACTCCAAACGCTAGAAAATGCCATTGCATTCCTTTAGGCAAAAAAAGGCATTGGATACAATGAATTTTTTCGAAAATAATGGAAAGTTTCCAAAAAAAAGAGATACTAAATCACAAAGCAAATCATTTCTAGAAGACAAAACAATTTATTGCTGATGACGACAACCGACTTTCTAGAAGGAAGATTAAAGGTTTTCGATGTGTATTACGAAAAGAAAAAAACATTTTAGGACAGCAAGATCTGTATTGCTAGGTTAATTGCAATGCTATAAAAAAAACAAGCATTCAAAAGGTATATAATTATGAATCATGCTTGAAAGAAGATTCACAGCCGTGTCAATAGGGTGCTGTCGTTTTATTTAATTTTGATCTACCATCTAATATCAGGGAAAGTCTAGAAAATTTTAAATTCAAGAATAAAAACAAAATACAAAAAAATATTAATTTAAATTACGTCATGCACCAGTTAAGGTATGAATATATGGTTCAAACTATAAAGTGATAAATTTCAATTTCAAAAATTCACGTTCTAAATAATCTTAAACATTAAAATGAACAAAATTTAAATTTATTGCGTATATACATATTATGTCCGATGATTAAAAGTAAGTGTTGTGTCAGATTTCTTTTTCTTTTATTTGTATAATGTCTTGTTTTTCGATTTCCTACATGAACTTGCAAAAACTCAAAAAATATTCGGTTCAAATCATAATTTTATGAAATTTATTTGAAGCTCAATAAACGAAAGAACAAATCTACCTCTATAAAATAGTATACTACTCGTTAAATTTCTCCAAATTATTCATTAGCAATAAATATTTTGATAAGAAACACTGTATCAATGTAGATCATTTTCTCAATTTCTATGAAAAAAAAAACATTATTTTAAAGTGAATAATTTCTTCTTTTATTCAATACAAAAGGTATCTTTCTATATATGATTTTCATTTTGAAATTTATTCTTTTTTCTTCTTGATATACTAGTGTCTTTATGCATGAGCGCGTGTGTAAAGGATAAATATGATTTATAGTACCTTGACGCTATTGTCTTGTTTACTGAAGTAACTAATTGTATTTGCTTATCTGTTTGAGTGACGTTTAAGTTTCACTCGATTGATCATTTCTACAAAAGAAAAAAAGCCATTCATCAAGTGTCCGGTTCCATTCACGACAGACAGATGCATTCATAGATATGAAAAAACGTATAATAATAACTTTTTATTATTTGAGAATAGTTAAATTTTATATTTATTTTCTTTTATTTTATAGTTAGTAGCATATTACATATGTATCAAAAATATAAACCATCTTAATATATAATTTAATAAAGTATACTATAAGTATTTTTCAACAAGATAAAGCGAACAATCATGCGTGATTGATAGAAAAAAGAAGAATTTGTTTTTTGATTTCTTTCAGCTGGTAATATGGGACATATTATTTTCAGAACAATTAACGAAAGTTAAATAATGAATTTCTTTTCAAAAATTCTTATTTTATTTGAGTATTGATTGATGTAATCAACTTATTACTGGTATTATGTATAATTATTTGCTGTTTCAGATTTTTTTGATGATTGGTAGGATACAGACAATACGGACTTTTTTGTAATAGGTTAAGGTAAGTATAATGAACAAGCACGAGATGCAGGAGACAATACCAATAGTCATGCCTACTCAAAATCGAAATATTTTATTCATTGCTTTTTACGGATGAATGGTTCAACACTTACGAACGATGATAATTTCTTATATGAAAAAGTTGAAAATATATAAATCTAAACATAACAAAGGTGTGGGTGTGGGTGTAAGTATGGGTGGGTGTGGGTGTGCAAAAGAAGAACACCCACACCTACTCACACCCCACACCCACATCCACCCACCCACACCTCACCCACCCACACGCACACCCCACACCCCCTTTTCGCTGAGTTCATCAAAGCGCTTCATGATAATACCGATGATCAAAAAGCCCTGCATCTATGGAAACAGTTGCTAAATATATGGAATCCAACATATGGCGATCATTCTAGACACATTCAAGACTTAGAATGCCGTCTGGAAAACGATATAGAATATGCTTATCAGAGTTTCGATGAAGGTCAAGAGGCGCTTCATTTTTATGAAAAAGTTCTATTCATATTGGAAAGCTCGACTTCACCATTAATCAGCATCGAAAATGCACGAATTCTATGTTTGGATCGTATTGCTAACATTCATCAACGAAATGATAATTTTGAATTAGCACTCAACTATTTGATTCAAAGCTTAAATATGATGCAACGCAAGAGAAGAATACCGAACGAAATCGCCGATAAAATGCGTCATATTGGTCTTATTCACATGACCCTTGGAAATTATAGTTTAGCGTTGAACTCTTTCAATGGTGCACTCACTATACTGCAATCGAACTCGATAGATCCGAACGATCGAGAGATAAAATTAACCTCAAGACGAATCGATGAAGTTAAAGAAGCACTTGAATCAAGTACACATGCGCAAAACTGTGACATTTTTATTTAAATCTCATCATGACAGTCAATAATTTGATTTTCATGAGTGAAGTTCATATTGAGAGTGCGGATGAGAAACAGTTGAAACTACTAGTGTTCGTTTTTTTTGACTACGAACAAATCCTAATAAAGAACTTTTATACCAAGCACATATGTATTGTTTTAACTATGCATTCTTCAATCGGCTAGGTGCATTGTTTCGAATTCTGTAATTTCTATTCTAGTTGCATTCAGCGTACAAAAAGCTCGATCATAGCTTCATCAACCTTTGAAACTGGCAGAGCGGTGGTTATTGTTTCCTTTCAACGCGCGATCATTTTTACGTAATAGAAATACATTTTGTATTTTTATATCCGACCTACACAGACATATTGCAATCTTAAGGTGAAGCGCCTGCCAGAAAAGATAATAGCAAAACTTTTTTCGATACAAGTTTGCATTGACTATTACCATAGTAAATCTCGCAATAATCATTCACCATAATAAACTCAAAATGTTCTTTTCACATAGATTTACATATTATCGAGATTAACTCGAACTGTACCGTTTTATTTATTCAAGATTAAGAGTTAGCATGTATCGCAGCCCAGTGGAGCTCACGGAGACTCAATACATGCATTAATAAAAGCGAAAATAAATTATAAATATGGAATTTAGATTCAGCGTGATGTGTTTTTATCCATGTGGTCTGTGAGGACGTCCATGGCCATGGCCATGTCCTCTACGTTTGCCTACACATCGACAATCAATTCTTCGTGGCAGTGCGAAATTTTGGCAATGACCTCCATCGGCATAGCATCCACTGTCCTGACAACTACCATAGCGACTTCCACGACAATCATGAGCGTCAGCGAATTATGAGATATATGCTACGAATATTAAAATGACAAAAATTACACCAATGATTGATTTTTTCATAGTTTGTTTTCTAGGGTGGGTGTGGGTGTGGGTGGGTGGGTGTGGGTGTGGGTGCGGGTGCGGGTGTGGGTGTGGGTGCGGGTGTGGGTGCGGGTGTGGGTGTGGGTCTTCTTTTAACTACACCCACACGCACACTCACAGCCACACCCACGACACACCAATACCCATACTCACACCCACACCCACACTCACATCCACACCCACCCACACCCCACACCCACACCCAACCACGCCCACACCCACACGCATCCACACCCACATCCACATCCACACCCACATCCACACCCACAACCACATCCACATCCTACTATTGGAAGAAGATCTTTTGATTTTCTTTCAATTTAATTTTATTTAATTTCATTTATGCAGATTTTAAACCACCTGATGAGACTTTGAAATAAGTCGAAACCGGTCGTGGTATTCTATTCTTTCAAACTCACCATTTGAATTTATAGAAGATCTACTATCTGTGATAAAATAGGCTAGAACTTAATATTGCAGGTCTTTTGACTTTTCAATTTAATTTCAGCTTGTTATATCATTCATGTAGATTAGTTAAGCCACCTGATGAGACTTTGAAATAAGTCGAAACCGGTTGTGGTATTATATTCTTTCAAACTCACACCCTCACCCTGACCCTCATACTCACCATTTATAAGAATTTCTGCGTCTTAATTTGATTTTGATACTAGAATGCTGTTAGGAGTTTCGATTCTTATAACTTTCTATTAATTTGGGATTAAATTTCATGCAGTATTATATTATTCCAAATTTACCTGATGATGATCCCTTAAGCAAGGATCGAAACGATCGTCGTAAGTAGCTTGAGATCCTCTTGTAAACACACACTCTCACCCTCACCTTCATCCTCACTCTCACCCTCATTCTCACCCTCACCCCACCCTCACCCTCAACTACCCCTCAAGACAAGCAATATTCATAACTACTTTGTTAAGATGATTCCACGTTTAGTTCGCAGAAAACTTTAGTCGAATATGTAGTAGAATCTTCATATTTATGTGCGCATATATGACAAAAATTCAATATTCATTATGAGTAGTGATTATTTCCTTCATAGTCTTGGAGTTCACTGTCTTCTTTACTGATTGATATCCTTCAAGCAAATAGAGCAAAAGTATACGTGAAAGAACTAAAAGCGAGGGGGAGATATAGGCGTCAACTCCTTTGCTTTCTTACTGGTTGCTATATTAATCAAATACAAAAAGTTCTCATTTCTTTCGTTTTTTTCTTGTTGGTCAAAAATGTCGTTAGCAGGATGTGTCTGAACAAATCAGGAGCTTTTGTGACCCTGATTATGATGTATTTTCGAGAAAAGTATAAATATCGAACTTGTGAAACTTTTCATGATCAAATTCAAATAAAATAAAAAGGATAATTACAAATCTAATTATCTTATCTAAAAAAAGACGAGTATCTGTAGGCACCACGAGCTTTATCGAATGCACTGATAAGTCGAATTCGTCGGCGTTCATCCATTTCGATATCAGTGAATATGTCTTTTTCATAGATTCGAATCAATTTCTTTTGATCAGGTGGTACTGTAAAGATGCAGTCACTTGATGTAGTACTTAAAACGATGAGTGAACAGAGAATTTCAACACTCAACTTATTTCGAGTTGCATAGAGCTTAAGAAAATGAATCACTGGTAATTTGAAGTAACGAAAAAAGAGTGCATTCTTTTGTATTATTTGTAAAAGATGAACTAACGTATCATTGTTGATATTTTTCAATGCAGACGGATCAATTTTCAAACTCCAAATTATCGAACCAAGTGCCATTGATTGGCGATTTAAACTAGCGAAAGATTGATAGTTTTGTAAAAGAGCTCGAAATTCAATTAAAGTAATAATCGGTTCGTGTTTTCTGGCTTGTTCTTGTGCTTTTTTCAAAAACTCTGGTGTTTCAGTTTGATTATCGATTGTGTATAAATTGAATAAATTGTGTTCGAGGTTCAGCAGTCTGAGACTTCTGGTATTAGGGCCTGTCGTGATAAGACCATGTAATTCGTGTACATTTCCTGAAATATCATCATAGACTGTTTTAAGAGCATTAATATTCTCCATCGACCATAAATCATCTAAAAAATAGCGTCGTTTCATCGGATCCTTGATAAAAAGATCTTGTTTCCACTCATCCACCCAACATTGACGACCTGTTGCACCAACGAATGACTCAAATATGTATGTGTTGCTAATATCATGTGGTAAACGATCTTGGGTCGATATCCATGTTCGTATGACCTTGGTCGTCCTTTTCTCAATGTTCTCCCGATCTTCCTCAGAAAAAATAGAGCTTCCTTTAGGAAACCAATGAGCAATACGAGAGCAGTGTCGAAGACCAAGCAAATCTCGTGGTTCGCTATCGACAACGGACCAAAACTGATTGCTACATGAACTAGAGCGTTCTAACTCAAAGAATAACCGAAATACATTTTGTACACGACGATTATATTTTTCATGGGTTATAAATTGAACTGCTTCTGTTTTTTGCCCATGTAAATCATATGATTCCAATATCCTGACTATATAACGAGCACAAAGATATTCTTGAAAACTACGATGAATAAAGTAGTAGATGTCTTCGAGGAGTAAAGGAGAAGAATTTTGCGTTTGAGGTACCAGTAAACCAATTTGTAGTACGGAAGAGGCTAGTGGACCTGCAACATCTTTTATTTCTTCTCTGCTAATGATGAATCGATGTGATTTTGTAGCTTGAAATGCTAGACGTTCTAAGTGAGCAAAGGCTATGGCATTGGGTTCTCGATAAATATTTCTTTCAGCTAAAGCGGATGTACACAGACCGTGGAATTTTAGCAGATATCGTCGCAATAGATATTCACACATTTTTTGATAGAGTTGTCCCATTGTCATTTCGGAATCTAACCTTACCTTACCATTCCCCCACAAACTACAGATGATTTCCAAACATGCAGGAATACGTGCTGTTTCCAGTAGTTGTTCAGACTTATGAATAAATGACCAACATTGATTTGCTGTTGTTCGAAACATGATAGAAAAATATTTGTTTATATAATTATGAATATCTTGATTTGTAAAACTATTAACATGAGCACAGATGTCATACTGAAAATTATATATTTCATGTGGCCGAGATGTTAGAAGTAAATGTGGTTTTGCTAATAATTCTTCTTCGATTGGATGTAAATGATCTGGAATTGTTCGCTCATCTAATCCGTCAAGAATCCAAAGAATATTTGATGGATTGGCTAGTTGAGAGTTCAATTCAAGTTTACCTAAGCCACTAAGTGCATGTTCCGAAAAACATTCGTTTCCAATAATATCGATTAACGAATAGCTCCTATGTTGTAGAGGCGGATAGCGTTTTGAATTTAAATTTCGCATTTTAATATGAAACAACCATTCAAATTTACTTTGCCATATTTTCTCACAGGCCCATAAATATGTGACATGTTGGCAAACCGTCGTCTTTCCACTGCCGACTTCACCGAGCACTAATACACGGGTGTTGGTGAAGAAACTGTCAAAATCGATCGATTTACCGTTTTCTTCGAATTTTAAAGGAATATATCCCTCTGTCGTAAGTTTGAAACTCCCGCTAGTCCAGATACTTGATAGGTGTTGATAATGTCGTTGATAAGACATTTTGAGCTCATTCTGAAGCCGTATTATGTGTTCGATAGGGAGTCTTTTTCCGTCGTCTTTCATGGCTAATGAAGCGAAACGGTTCAAATCTTCGACTGGATCACCCTGAGACTTATCTTCACAACGTTTTGCAAGAATATACGCATTCTCTCGTTCGAATGACATTAAACTTTCGCAAAGTTTCTTTCGATTTTCACCAAGGCGCATCCGAAAACCGGGTTCAAAACTTGTGACAACACAATTGTTATCTGCTTGTTCAGCGAAGCACGGTATAATCTCGGTATGTTCTTTATCGAGATGGCAAATTTGCTCGTTTTGATTATAAATCAATGAAATACCATCTTCTTCTGTCAGCTCTCGAGTAGCACTATCGATGAGTAAAATAAAATATTTCAAATTAGCGTCTAAATCGCTTCTTTGCAATCGACCAAGTATTTTTGGTTCGATCAATTGGTAGTTATTTGTAGTAGGGAAGACTCTATGCTTATTTGGTGGATTATCGTAGCTAGGATTGTCAACTCTAATATGAATGTGATCTGAACTAATACGTCGAAAGGAAACACAAACAGCATGTGCATCCCAACCGGTTGGAATAGTATATTCTTGAAATAGGTGAAGCCGTTTTATCTTCTCTATGACATTTTTTGCAATACATTGATAAATTTGTATTAGTTGTGAGGGTGGAACTTGATCTATCTCAAGCAAATCTAATTTTTCCGGTATTGGCCCTGGAATTTTTTCAATATCATACAAACAATAGTATGTTTCTAAAGTGTGTAGAAGTTCATTTTCGACAATCGTTAGTTCTTCATTGTCGGGAATCCTTGGAAAATTGGTGTGCATTTTGACGATTCGTCGAACCAGAGTGAAAATACGCAATGAAAGAAAAATACGGTATGTGGGGCCGCTGCTTAAATTTAGTCCACGTTGTTTGGCATCATCGATATTGTCAAGGGCATTAATAAGAATTAAAAAGTCTTTTGAACTATAATCAAGGATATCACTGTGAAGAAGATGACTGACGATATATTCAAGAGCTAATTGATTTCTTTCCTCTTGTAACAAATCATACTGATTGATATAGAATACCAAATGCTTTTCTAGTTGTGCTTTTGTTGGACTTTTACGATATTCATAAAGGCGACAAAGCGCACGATACGCGCTTTGTTTCGCTGCCAACTGGACAGGAGAGATAAAACTCCAACTATCCAAATCGAATTGAGATAAATTACAATCGACGCCTTGTTGAATTAGTACCATGACCTCGTCGGAATCGGGATTTGTTTTGAGTATGTCAAATAAACGTGTTTCGCGCGTTTCCATCGTACGAGTAGAAATGTTTAGTTGTTTGTCACTATAGCAAATAAAATTCTGTCACTGATTTCTTTACGTTAAAACACGTGCTCATATTCTTCTTTTTTTTCTTTTCTTCCGAGTAGACCTTTACGTATTGACGATTCTCCCTTTCTTTTATTGCTATTTATATTTTTGCAAGGTTAACCACATAGCAACAGTAATCGAGAATGTTATTAGTGTCGAACGAACAATAAAAAGAAGAAATTGATGTAAAAGATTGGTCATGTAATCAAAACTACAGGGTGCGTAAAAATGTTTTTCCAGGGCGATAACACTGTAATTTCAAACAGCATACATAACTAATTTTATACCAAATTAAAGGGTGGGTGTGGGTGTGGGGTGTGGGTGTAGGTGTGGGTGTAGGTGCGGTGTATGTGTGGGTCGTGTGGGTGTGGGTGTAGGTGTGGGGTGTGAGTGTGGGTGTATGTGTGGGTGTGAGTGGAGTGTGGGTATGGGTGTGATGTGGGTATGGAGTGCGGGTGTAAGTGTGAGTGTGGGTGTGGGTGTGGAGTGTGGGTGTGGGTGGGTGTAGGTGTGGTTGTGGGTGTTGGTATGGGTGTGGGGTATGGGTGTGGAGTGCGGGTAGGTGGGCGCGGGTGTAGGTGTGGGATGTGAGGGTGGGTGTGGGTGTGGGTGTGGGTGTGGGTGTGGGTGTGGGTGTGGCTGCGGGTGTGGTTGTGGGTGTGGGTGTGGGTGTGGGTGTGGGTGTGGCTGCGGGTGTGGTTGTGGGTGTGGGTGTAGGTGTGGGTGTTGGGTGTGGGTGTGGGTGAAGAGGAGAGTAATACCCAGACCCAGACCCAGACCCACACCCACTCCCACACCCATAGTTACACTTATTAAATCCAATCAATAGCGATTAGTCATACAATACCAAAGCAAGAATGATTAATTTTAGAATATTCTTTCATACGAATAAGATAATGATACTTAGTTCTCGTCGTTTAAAAGATTAAATGAAACTACATTGAATCGTATATTTTAGATAGTTTTCGACGAATTTTCTTAAGAAACACTGATGGTTTATTCTTTTTAGATCAAATCTTTTTAAAAGAGCATAAGATGATTTCCTTATGGAACCATAAGAAAAAAAAACGTCGACTTATTTTTTGAAAAGCCAGTCGAAGATTCGTAATCGTAAACGTACAACTAATAATTGACTAAATCTAATATTTTTTTACTAGATGATTATTATTAAAAATGAATGTCAATCTATAATGTATTTTCAACTATGTGAGCAAAAAGAGAAGGATGCGTATAGGTGATAAAATGCGTCATTGCTGGAGAAATAAAAATGAGCCACGCAAACAATCATACGTCATATCAGCGTCCAATATCCATGCTCACACCCTCGATATACATATGGATTAGATGCCCAATGAATCAAGTGGTGGCATAAGTTCATGTCAAAAAATGTTTATAGTAAGATTACCCATTAGGTATGCACCAGTTCCGGTCATGACTGGGTCATCAATCAGTTAATCTTTAATTTATTGCATGCATAATATCTCCCTCTTTCTTATAATATTATAATAAACTCATCTTAACCTATTAAAGCGCTAATACGAGTTATATCATAGAATTAATAATCAATTATTTCCATGATATGAGTCGTATTAGCTCTTTAATAGGTTAAGATGAGTTTATGATAATCTGATAAGAAAGAGGGAGATATTATGCATGTAATAAATTAAAGATCAAATGATTGATGACCCAGTCAGACTGGACTGGTGCATACCTATTACCCATGTAAAAAAAGGAGCCTAGAAATCTGATTTTTCACAGAAAAATAGATTATAACCGATGTATAGGAATAGTAGCTTAAAATTCATTAAATTTTTAATCGATTAATTGGAATTCTCTATACGTAATCGATTTAAAACAATTATTTATGTAATTGCGCAATCTCAATTGAAAAAAGGCAGTAGGACGAATAGGATCCTTTTCTGGCTCAAAAAATTTTCGGTTTTTCTTTGCATTGGAACTATGTCAAGTGATACTCGGAAGCATTGCCAGGCACTTAGTTTCACGAAATCACTGAGTCACGGTTTTTAAGCCTGGGATCTCCCACAGAATTTCTGAAAAAATTTCTATTTTTATGTTTTCCTAACCCGTCTGATAATATGTAATCGACCACGCTGATTACGGATATTCGTATTAGAAGTGTCGAAAATGGTTGGAGAAGGAATAATCTTCTATTTATCTCTATTTTCTTTCTCTTCGCAAAAAGACTATTTCGCTGCCATTCTAGCGATGAAAGTATCGAACGACTACAATATATAGTGATTCGGATGCAGAATTTTATGCTGAATCCGATTATGAAATCAGAAAATTTATGCAAGCTTAATCTTTTGTGAAAAATGACAAAAACTGGCTAAAACCATGGTTTGTCGGCGGTAGTTGTCCTAAATGACCTAAATGAAGGTCCAGACAGACATCCAATCGCATCGTCAATTTTTTTCTAAACGGCTCATTTTAGGTGTGGGTGTGGTTGTAAAAAGAAAAGAAACACATCCATACCCACACTCACAACAACACCCACCCACACCCTGACGATGAATCCTCATTAGATGGCTTAATTTCGGTGAGGATGGAGTGTTGGTGACAGAGCTCCACGTGGGATGGGACAATCCCATCCCATCCTATCAGTCCCATGGGATACAAATTGTTAATTAAATTTTGAATAGGATGGGATGGGACGAAAAGTTTTTGAGAGTCGCCCTATTCCATCGTCCCATGGGACGAATAAATATGATGTGAATCTATTCTTTTTCTACAAAGAATGTAGTCGTTTTAATATCGATGTCGTACTAAACTGTGTGACAAATATAGTTAAAAATTAAGGCTCAATAAGTGGTCAAACAGTGCATCTATTTAGATTCAATATGCAATAAAAAACATAGGTAAATAATAAATTAACAACCGCTGTGAAGTCAGCCCGACGACCAATAAGAGGTACTTTATTCGTCCCCCAATCATAATGAACGCGTATAATACCTAAATATACCCATAAAATACCACTAATTTTTCCAAGCAACCAGCAATATAGAAAAAAAATATGACCAAAGAAAAAGATAATATTACTAATGATATCACCAAAAACACCATCAGCATCTCTTTCCTAACTTTCAAATCATATGAAGATGTACAACATGTGCAGATGTTCACAAAGATGTTTTGGACTATTTCTAAAATTCGGTTTTATGTTAGAAAAATTTAACATAACATTAATAGTAAAACCAGCAACAAAAACATCAGAGAAAATTTGTGCTAACTTTTAAATGATATCACAATGTATCAGTAGCGTACCGAGGAATTTTCCAAGAGGGTGCCCAACCAACTATGCGGAGTACACACCAGCAGCAAAATTTATTTTTCTTTCTTGA